CATTCCGCCCCCTCCTCTGAGCGCACCACATCCTCGCTGCTCCTCCCTCCCCCCCCCAGCGTCCTGCACACCTCGCGAAACAGCAGATCCTGGCGGGCGGGAGGCGTGGGGAGGGAGGGGGAGGTTCTGATAGAGGGACTGCCGGTGGGTGCTCAGGACTGCCGGTGGGTGCTCAGCACCCGCCATTTTTTCCAGGCCTGGAGCAGCCACAGAGTTGGCGCCTATAACATGAAGAACAAATCAGTTATCTTTATCTAGTTTTGTAATTTATAAGGTGGTTTTTAAAGAAAAGTTGGTATTGTTACCTATTTCTGTTGTTAAAAATGAGTAACACTTTGAGAGCCTAGTTCTGCAGACATGAGTCTCATACCTTTAAAACGATAATCTCTCTCTCTGTGTCTCGCAATTATGAGCAATTGGATGGTAATAATTAACAGTCCTTGGAGAAAAACATCTGCAAGTACACTTAAGTCAGCTAATTTGTCTTTCATGAAAGAATGGAATTTCACAATTTTTCCAAGTTAATATATTTTTCCTTTATTGTGTTTCCAATCTCAAATATTGTCCAGAAACATTTTATGGTATCTTAAGGTCATAGAAGTGAATACATGCCTCTTAATAATGAACAAGAAAAGAGAACATTCTAAAGAAATATAGCAATATTTCAACTCGCACAGTATTCTGACAGAGAACATAATTTTTTTTTAGAGGATATGGTCCCTGTGAGAAATAATAAAAATATATTTTTGCAGTTGTGGATTCCCACAACAAAAAGGGCATGTTTCCATATATGTGTGTACATAGTGTGTCCTCTGTGATGGCTTGTTATGTGAGTGGGGAGGTAAGTGAATATTTATGCACAAATGATATACTGTAAATGGACAAATTTCTGATGGCACAGACATTGGAAACATGAAGCTATTAATTCTCCCCCCTCCTTTGAGATAGCAATCTGGTCTGGTCTAGTTTTAATATCATTGGCAGGACTGAATGGAAGTTCACATTGTGAATATATCTGAACCTTGGCATTCAGCTCAGTAGTGGATCTCTCTTTCCAGCGCTGCCAGTTTGAACAGTCCCAGGCAGACATTCACATTTTATTTATAAATAAGTTCAGCATGTGTGTATCTCCTTCACAACACTGAGCAGCAGACACCAAAGCATGCCAATAGTCCAGAGTAAGAAGGAAATAAGAAGCATATTAGAGAATATAGGGCTCCAATTTCAGACAACACAACAGGAATGATTATTCAAATATGTTAGCGTAAAGTTCATATGTGCGGGCGTATGCATGTACATGTGCGCACGCGCACTACTTGGATACGTGCATATATTTCCCCTTACAGTGCTTTTGACACGTGCTGTTATTTGCACCCCATTTTTCTTTGTCAAATGAAATCTGACATCAGGATGAGATTGTCTCATATCTCTATTGTGTCAGAGCTCAGAAATGAATAACTGATTTCAAAGGAAAATTCCCTTGAGCAACAAGACCAGTGATCATTCTGAGACAATGGTCGGCGAAGCTCAAAGGAAAGATTTCCTGACGTGTGAATTTCACACACCCCTCCCACAGTACTCTTGTTTTTGAGGAGTCTAATTTATCAGAGTACATTTTTCCCTGTTACATAAATCATACATTAAAGTGAAATCTTCCTATCTGAACATACGTACTGTACATCTGGAAAGGTTATTAAACATACCACTGGAATAATAGTTCTTGAAACCAGAAAGTAATTCTGTCCTATTTGGCTCTGTTCTCCTCTCAGCTCCACGCAGTGAATTGGAGTTCTGATACTCCGCACATGTGCAGCAGACCTTCCATTCACATCTTTGGAAGAGCATAGTGCTGGAATGAGAGAATAGGGCACTTCGTTCCTCTGGCAGAAAAACCCATAGGAGGGAAGTGTTTCTGAGAATTCACCTTGGTCCATTGAGAGGAATGTTGGGGAGATGCTGTGTCTTCACTTTGGAGGAAAAGGCCAGTGGAAAGGTCTTTTTCCAAATATATCCCATTTAAAAATATCTGAAATGGCAAAGTGTATTTTTCAGTGGATTGTCCATGGTTCTAAAGAAGCCAAGTCACAGGATGTAATATAGGAGCAGTTTGGTTTAAAAAAGTCAGTGTACAGTCATTAGGGGCCAGATTATGAGCCTGTTATTCATATTAGTAGACAGTTACACAGCTAGTCCCATTGACTTAACGAGAGTTACTCTTGTGAGTAACTACTCATCAGTGTAAGTGAGGTGCTCGCAATCTGTCAGCATAGAAGGTTAGTCATTACTAAGAGTCACTGATAGCCTAAGTGTGCATGTTACCTCTCCATTTCTGATTGTTCTTAGGGTGGTGCTACAGGGCTAGAATTAGAGTTGTTCAGGTGATCTGAATTGTGTATTTCCATAGTTTATCATTTTTCTGATGTGGCACCCTAGCTTTCCATGTTTCCATTTCCATGTTTTCCAGTATTGTGTTTTTGGAGGAAGCTACGCTGAAGAATGAGTCTTCAGTTCTTGTACGTTACTTAGTAGAATACTGAACAATTCTTTATGATTATTAGTTGTTACATTTCAGTAGTGCCCAAAGATTCCAACTAAAGTTGGGATCCCTGTATACTAAGTATTGTGTGAACACACAGTCCCTGGCTGCTCTTACAGTATAAGTAGATGTGATAGACAAGAGATGGGAGATTAAACAGGAACATAAGTGAAAGAACTTGTGGAAGGTCACCCAAAGTCAGAAGTAGAAGTGAGAATTGAATGCATTTCTCTGGGCTCCTACTTCAGTACCCTATAAGAACATAAGAAAGGCCATACTGGGTCAGATCTAGCCAATATCCTGTCTTCTGACAGTGGCCAATGCCAGGTGGTTCAGAGGGAATGAATAGCACAGATAAGCATCAAGTGATCTATCTACTAGACCACACTGCCTTTGCATTGTCCAGCCATGCGAGGAGAAAGATGGGAGGCAATGGATGTTGTTTAATTAGGCCACAACTTTGTTCACTTAAAAATATAGTGCATGGCAATATATTCAGATCATCATTGTTTCTGTAATAATTCCCACATAATCCCCAACCTGGTCCCAGCCATTCCACCGCTGGGACCTCATCACCTGCCCCTTGCATGAAGATTAAGAGACCTATGGGAGGGAGTGAGGGTTGGCTCCCTATTGTACCAGACGTAGAAGCCCCAAACCTCAATTCTGCAGTTCCCTTAAGGGATGCTTTCCTTTACTGCAATGCTTTCCCTCAATTCCACCTCCACCAAGTTCCCAGATATTCACTGATTCCTTCCTTAGTACCGGACAAAAATATACCTAACCCTCAATCAGATTGATGGACCCCATCCTCCTTTAATAACTCAGGTGCCTAGTAAGATACGTTCGAATATGGAATTACCCATCCTCCTTGGATATGTCTGTATTTTGTCACCTCCATATTTACATATCTCCTGATCTTATCCATCCAGGGAGGCTTCACTGCACTGCACCGCACCACACTCTGCCCTGCAACATGTCAGACCAAATAATCTTGGATCTTCCCCAAATTCCTCTTAGCTTTGTTTTTCCGATCCAGGTGACAGAGAGTGCTTCTCTGGGACTGCACAGGATATAAATGTTGCCCCCTCTTCCAGTCAGCAGGAAAGGAGTACCCTCCCCATTCCAGTCCAGCCATTTTCTGCTCCTCCCTGCTCTGTACATGTAAATATTCCCCCTTCATTCATCTCTGCTACCACTTGCAGGGGGAGCTCTTAAAGAGGCAACAACCGTTTTTCTTCCAGCCAGCTGCACAAGAATCCACTGCATACAGTGGTGGTGAGCACATTATCCAGAAAACAAGAAATAATACAATATCCTCTTAAGTGCTTTTTCATGAAGTGACTTTATTTTCTCTAATGAGCTTAGTTATCCATATCTGTCTCTGTCTTTCTCAGATATTTATAGAGCGCCAATCATCAGCGTAATCTAGGTGTCGTGTGTGAGTATGTGTATAATAATTTTAGTGAGTATATGTCTGTGTAGGCTGGCATTAATACAACATTAAAGCAAAAAAAGTGAAATACTTGTCAGGAAATCCTAAAGATTAAGGTTTCTACCTCATTGTTAACTTGCCTTCACTGTAAATCAGGTATATTTTATGGTATGCCATAGGTTTAAAAAACAAAACGAACTATTAAAAACCAAACATAGCATTCAAATTTAACAACGAAATGAGGATGAGACATTGCCACATATGTGCAATACAGGTGAGTTAATGTTGTGGTAGAAATGTTAGCTTTTGGAATATCTGAACTTTTAACTTTATGTTAAGGGTCATTCTATTTTTTAAATTAATTTTCCTGTTGTATTTTTAAAAAGAAAATGCCAAGAACAAAGTGAAAAACACAGTTATAATGCTTTAAACAATAGCTTGGTTCTCCTGAAGTAGTTCATGCGATGAATCTCAGTAGTACTAAAGGTTTCAGAGTAGCAGCTGTGTTAGTCTGTATTCGCAAAAAGAAAAGGAGTACTTGTGGCACCTTAGAGACTAACCAATTTATTTGAGCATGAGCTTTCGTGAGCTACATGTTTCGTGTTGCATCCGATGAAGTGAGCTGTAGTTCACGAAAGCTTATGCTCAAATAAACTGGTTAGTCTCTAAGGTGCCACAAGTACTCCTTTTCTTTTTAAGAGTAAATCAAGTATAATAGCATCTCTTCCATTCAAGTTTGCTGAAATCCGGTTTCATCCTAAATATTATGACAGGTTTCAGAGTAACAGCCGTGTTAGTCTGTATTCGCAAAAAGAAAAGGAGTACTTGTGTACATCCGATGAAGTGAGCTGTAGCTCACGAAAGCTTATGCTCAAATAAATTGGTTAGTCTCTAAGGTGCCACAAGTACTCCTTCTCTTTTTCCTAAATATTATGAGACTTTTGAAACCAAGGAATCCGGTTTGATGTGATATAAGACTACTTTGACATTCCATCATAAACATTTTTCCTTAAATATACTTTTTTGCAGTGGCTTTGCCTCCAGAGAAGACAGATGGAGTTTGCAGTGGAGATGAAAAGAAAGCTGGGAAAGAAAGTGACACACGTACAAGTTCCAGGAAACAACTAAAATTTGAAGTAAGTCCCTCGTTTTTGAATGTTGAAATGTACTGAAACAAATAAGTTAGATAAATAGCCTATGGAACAAATACGGCCATCAGTTGTCTGTATGCAGTTCCCATTGATTGTATTGTACATCAGGTTGATATACATCAGAGAGCAGGATTTGGCCTTGAGTCTCTATTTTCCTATTTGCCTGGCTAATGTTCCCTAAGGGGTGGTTAGCAAGTTTTGTTCTTAAGTCAAATAAAGCCTAATGATGATGAGTTTTCCGCAGGAGCTGGAGTGTATGGTAAGGAGAATTTGACATTGCTCTCTACTTGTGAGCTTTTCAAGTATAACTTCATGTGCCACCCACTATGTTATCAAATCCTTATATTGGCTTTTGTAGACTATCATATTCAGTTAAATCTGCCTAGTGTAAAAGATATTTGTGAAAGGTGCCTTAGCCATCAGTCTTTCATGGCTGGGCCTCCAGAGTGAAATAACCTGGACCTTCTACACTGGCAATTCATCTGATTAGATGGAGGGGGAATAAAGATCCTGAGGGGAATTTGTCTGATGGCCTATTTCCTTGTAGACTTATAAACATCATAAAACTGCCAGACATTGTGCATAGTTGGCAGGTTTTGCTTATAAAGGGAGAGATTTAATAAATATGAGCACTGAAACATGCTGTCATCCGGCTAGAGAGTTGTTTGTCTTTCTTGACGAACAGGGAGGCACATTGGTACTGGCAGAAGAGCATGCATTTCATCTCTCTGTGCTCCAGCAGACGTGGCAAACTTCTGCCTTTCAGTGCTGTCAGTCTGTCATGTTAATGAGCTTTGCATTCATCAATTATTATGTAAAAGACCATCTAGCCATCTTGTAATGTTACTGGAACATTCATTTGCTTCTCTGGAAAAGGTTTGGTAGCCCCGTGCAAATTACTTTTTACTGTTTTAAGACCAGCTTTTCCTTGAGAAATGCAAGTATTCCTATGATCTTAGTCATGTTGACAGGCTTCTTTCTTTCTTTCTTTCTTTCTTTCTTTCTTTCGATTTTATACTCTACCTTGAGTAATGGACATTTCACACACGTGAAAGACATGACAAATTACAGTTAACAGTACCCTGATGCTTGAATGTTGGTGGACACCTGGTGCCAGTTTAGGGGGAACTCTACCATACCAGCAAAGACTATGTTTGTTCCCAAGTAGTTCTTGGCATGCCACAAAGGTTAGCACTTGGTACTAGGCTCCATGACGAATGCCGGGAAGATTGCCATGTTACTAACTAAGCAGGGCACATCCTCACATAAAGATCATAGACAGTATGGGACAGGGAACTACTAATATGTGGCAAGAAACCAAGTATTGGTTTGTTCTCAGAATCAAAGCTTTCTAACCTTGTAAGCTAGGGGCTAGGAGAATGGTAAATCTTTCATTTTATGACTAGGTATAAAAGAATCAGAAATGCAAGTGTTGAGACAAGAAGTCTAAATCTGAGGTGGATGTGATTTGGCTTTTAAAGGGGCTGGGAATGTTTGTGTAATATGAAACTGTGTTTCCACAGTAGAGTGTGGGGCACTTGGCAGCTTTCAGACGGGCTTGTTACAACAGAGAGAAGACTGCCTTTGAACTCAGCAGGGGATGGGGGTACTGTTAACTGCTGTAGGGAATTGGTTTCAAGTCAGCAGATCAACCAGGTATTTTGAGCTCTATCATGCTGAAGCTATTTGGAGCTGTTTATTTTACTTACATACAGTGGCTTTTATTTTAATTGTGCTGTAACTTTTCTGTTTGCCTTTTGTGGCTCTGGTTGACTCGGATTGCACAGGTCTCAAGAGAAAGCAAGCGGCTTGCAACCAGGTGACTGGAGTAGGTCAAAGTGCGTCTTTTTTTCTTGGTGGGGTGTTGCTGGTTTTCTTTATATACATTGATTGTTGTAGGCTTTCTTCAAGTCACTCTCTTGCTAGCAGGAGCATGATTAAAGTAAGGATCAGGCAACAGTACGTAGTCTGTGGTAAGGGATTCTGACCTCTCAGTTCCGAATAAAATTCAATTTCTGTAACTTCGATAGCATCAAGAGGGTTGCCAAAGTTAATAAAGTACATTGAGTATCTGCGTCAAGGGCAAGTTTTACCAATGGGCGTTTATACCATGCATCCATTTTGTATTAATGACCATTTCTGATTCAGTGGCATGATGCCTCATACTGTGGGTCTGTTTCTGCCATCTCTTTATTTTCTCCCTGAGTTACGTGGAGTTTTTCTTTCTGACTTTTTGTAGTGGGAAATCTTATATTTTGTTCTAAGAACTTCAGCAGGCAGCTTTCTCATACTTTTGTATTTTGTGCAAGTAAAAGTAGAAAGTGTCTGTCTGTTTCCAAGAAGTTTAGCCCAAGGGTTTTAGGAAAGGAACCTTCTTGTCATGAGACTCCAGTGCAGTGGACAGAAGCTTACAAGGAACAAATCCTAAATGCCTCTCCCCTCGAGAAAGGAAGGAATAAAGAGAACTGCTTCTTTTTTACAGAGAAACTGAGCCTCTTCGGCAAGCACGCCTTATGCTTTAGGTAATAAGTTGCTCTTTGCATGTTTCTTAGGAATTGCAATGTGATGTATCTGTAGAGGAAGATAACAGGCAAGAATGGACCTTCACACTCTATGACTTTGATAACAACGGAAGAGTCACACGTGAGGTAAGCAAAGTATAGCTGCCCCTTTGTATACAGCATTTGCTAACAAGAGAAGTGTTTTATAACAGGAACATTTTTTTCTCCTATGAAGTAAACATTTCCTGCCAACTTCAACAGCAGTTTCCATGGACCCTTCCCTCTCAGAAACAAACTCCACCAATAGTTTACTGGTTTTGGAATTACTGTACCATCTTTTAAGCTGGTTGCTGTTTAGTGTCTGGGACTAGCCTTTAAAAGAAATAGTACCGGCATTTGAGGGGGGAAAAATCTGAACCAACTGAATCTCCAAACACATTGTCAAAACAAATCCCTGCAAATGTACATTGTTCAGTCTCCTGCCCTACTTTTCATAATTCAGCTAACCCAATAGCAAGTTTGCTTTCGGAATTTTGTTCCCAATAGTACTGACTGTACCATTCTGTCCCTTTCATGAACGTTGGGCAGAGATCTGTGCTGCCATCTCTTTCAAATTATAGACTCTCCTTGATAACCCTTGTGACACTTACTGCAGCATAGCAGTCAGTGGCTATCGGTAGAAGATGTGTCCATACTAAGATTTTCAGGATGCATTTGTGTCCCTAATAAATAAGGGAACCCATCACAGTATAAGAATATGGACAGAGTGCAGTCATTTTTTTCAAAGTGTACTAACCAGAATGAATCACACTTCATGGAAAGCGTCTTCTTCGAGTGCTTGGTCATGTCAGGTGTATGTGCACTGCATGCACCATTGCTGGAGATTTTTCCCTTAGTGGTGTCAGTTGGGCCCGCTCTAGCGTCTTCTGGAGCCACATGCTTATGTGCCAGTATAAGGGGCACTACCGGCCACACACCTTCTCAGTTCCTTCTTACCGCCCACTCTCTTCCGATCCCACCAACCATCAGCTCCGGCGTCCGGAAGCCGGAGGGAGCAGGGTGCGTTGGGACAAGCCCTACCTGATCCCAGTGTCCTGATCTCTGGCACACCACTGGTCCCCAGCACCCTGCCACCGTATGGATGAAGAAGCAGGTACCGCTCCACCCTGGGTGCTGAGAGAAGAATCCTCTTCAGAGAATGTATTGGCTTATCACCTCAGCAGATCCTTCTCCTCTCACCACAAGTGGTCCCGTCACCCAGAGGTCACCAGATTCATCTTCCAAAACTGGGGGCCTCCCCAGGTGGACTTGTTTGCCACCAGGCAGAGCAGAAAATGTCACCAGTTTTGTTAGCTGCGAAGGCACAGCCCAAGTTCCCTCTCTGATGTCTTCCTGATCTCAGGGACAGACCACCTACTGTACACCTTTCCCCCAACTCCCATGATTCACAAGGTTCTTCTAAAAAATCAAACAGGGCAAGGTAATAGTTACCCTGATACCACCAGCATGGCTGCGCCAGCATTGGCTCAGCTCACACTTGGATCTCTTGGTAGCAGCTCCACTGTCGCTCCCACTCCGTCCGGACCTGACTCACAAGACCCGGGCTGGTTACTTCACCCGAACCTCGCCTTCCTGCACCTACCTGAATGGATGCTGCATGGTCAGGCCCGCTCAGAACAGGTTCAGCAGGTCTTGCTAGGTAGTAGAGAGCCTTCCATCAGGGCTACGTACTTGGCCAAGTGGAAACGTTTCGCTTGTTGGGCTTCTGAACATGATCTCTCTCCCTCTCGATCTTCCCTTAAGTCTATCTTGGACTATTTGCTGCACCTAAAACAACAGGGCCTGGCCTTCTCATCTATTAAGGCGTATTTGGCAGCCATCTCAGCCTTCCAGCCCGCAGTGAATGGCAACGCCAGTTTTGGAAGAGTGCGGTTTCTATCAGCACGTTCATAAACTCTGAGCCCACCTCCTGGGTTACTGCTTGGGAGTCATCTAGCATGGAATGGACATGAGCAAGCACTCGAAGAAGAAAAAACAGTTACAAACCTTCCGTAACTGTTGTTCTTTGAGATGTGTTGCTCATGTCCTTTCCATAACCCACCCTACTACCGCTCTATCGGAGTTACAGACAAGAAGGAACTGAGAGGGTGCAGGGCTGGTGGTGCTATGCTTACACACAAGTGCGTGGCTCCAGAGCGCACTTGAGCCATCCCAACGGATACCACGAAGGGAAAAATGTCCCGCAACGATGCGTGAGGCGCTTACACACCTAGCATGGAATGGACATGAGCAACGCATTTCGAAGAATAGTAGTTAACGGACGGATACTAACTTAAATTTTTACTTAGATTTAATGCAATGTACCATCACTGATTATTTGCAAAGTCTCGTTCATTGGCTTCTGTGTCTTTAAACGGTCAACTGTAGGCTTCATTCTCCTTTTGCTTTTAAGTCAATACCTTTGAAAATTAGCAAGTCTTGAGTGAACAGGACTAGGAAAAATACTGAAAACGTGGTGGTAATAGACAAGAAATGGTGCTAGGAGTTGTCCATGAGACTGAAGTGGAATTTCTTTTTGTGTTCACAGTAAAACTATCTGCCAAATGAGGTTATTGTGCAGGTTTTTGAGAAGAGTATCTAAAAGGAGAACCATTGTTAAGATTTATTATTTTATATTATGGTAGCACATAGTGTACTCACATGAAATCTGGACCCCAGTGTGCTAGGCACTGAGCAAGCACATAGTAAGACACAGTCCCTGCCCCCAAAGAACTTAATATCTAAATAGGTGAGAGAGAGAGAGAGAGAGAGAGAATTATCCCTATTTCACAGATGGGGAGCAGAGGTACAGAGCAATTAAGTGACTTGCCCAAAATCATGCAAGAAATCGGAGGTAGAGCTGGGAATTGAACCCATATCACCTGAGTCCCAGGCCTGTGCCTTAACCACAAATGGAAGAATACTCAGGGGTGTCCTTTAAGCCCATGGCTGGAATTACCGTTAATGTCATCAGGAGTTCTATGTGCTGAACATACAGAGCATAGGCTTTTCATTATGCATACAATAATTATCTGTGACTTTTGTGGTACACCAGAGAGCTTAATTTGACTGTACTTAGAGAATGTTTTGCAGCTACATTCTAGCTCTGCCTACAAGAGCAGACAGCATATTAACTGAAACCAAATCTGTGCAGGGACTGAGGTCTGGGGTTTGCTATATTCAGTCCTGAATCTGTGCCAAATATTTGTCTTTTAGCCCAAGGGACCACGTAGGCTGATAATTTGCAGTTCTTCATATATGACCATGGCTAGAAATCAAGAGTATATACCAGTGGAAAGCTTTCCAACTGTTTACAACACTTGTTTTTGTCCCAGTAGGTTGCAAGATTCTGAATCTTAAAATTGTCATTTGGATTATCCATCTTACTTGTTGTATGATTTTAATGGTCACTCTTACACAAATACAGGTTTCAGAGTAACAGCCGTGTTAGTCTGTATTTGCAAAAAGAAAAGGAGTACTTGTGGCACCTTAGAGACTAACCAATTTATTTGAGCATAAGCTTTCATGAGCTACAGCTCACTTCATCGGATGCATACTGTGGAAAATACAGAAGATGTTTTTATACACACAAACCATGAAAAAATGGGTGTTTATCACTACAAAAGGTTTTCTCCCCCCCCGCCCAAACTACTCTCCTGCTGGTTATTTGAGATAGAGACCCCAGAAAGTTAGGAATTCCAGTTTTCAAATGGCCTGCAACTTCTCAATCTGGTGGGTGTTCAGATATGGCTGTCACAATAATGGGCTTGATCCCGCAGTCTGGTGAACATCCTGCCCCTGATCTAGCAATACATTTAGCACATGCTTAATTTAGAGCATGTGAATAGACCCATTAAAGACAAAGGACACATGCTTAAAGTTTAAGCATATGCTTAGGGCTTTGCCGGATCAATGACAGGATGGTCAGAGCATTGGAGGATCAAGCCCAAAGTGAGAAAGATTGTTGCCTTCTAACAATGCTTGGTTGGCAGATAAGTGCAAATGCTTTCTGGACCAGTAAACTTTCCAAACAATGGTCCAGAACTGGTGATCAAAATAATATCACCACTCCCAACCTCCATTTGCTGTGAAGTTTTCATTGGAGCGGCTCCTGGATTTGTTGTTTGATTTAATAGTAGGATAAAATTTTATTTCATACTGGAAAAGAGATTCAGAATGTAATCTATTGTGTCCAGGTGTTTGTGCCCACCATCTTAGAGTATCTGACTATCTTTGAAACATCTCAGTTTAGTTGGTGAGCTATCCATGTTGTTTTGTAAAATGAACGTTGTACGATCACAGTGTTGCATACTTAATCTGAACACAATTCAGAAGGCCCAGGGACAAGGTTGTGAAAAGAGATTTAGTGATTTTGGAAGCCACAGTTTTTCGGTGCCCAACTGAGACACTTTTAAAGGGCCCCTGATATTTAGTGGGTGGGGATTCAGCAACCTTTACACCTCTTTCAGATGTCTCAAACTGGGTATGCAGAATCAGTAATTGCTTTTGGAAATATCGGCCGTTATGTCCAGAGAGTTTCTAAATGATACATACAGTGTGAAAACAAATTCAGTGAAAGTCATTTAGATGGAGTGCAACTTTTGTTCATGGGCTAAACATCTTTTGCATTAAAATGACTGTATTCATTTTGAAAATTCTAAACAGGATGGGGATTTGAGAACTAGATAAAATTCCCCCAGGGTTTTTCACAAAGACAGATCTTCATAAGAGTGTTCAAATTCCATCTTAGCAGGATTTCTTCTGGATCTTAACATCTTCTGAACTTAATGTGTCTTTGATTTTCCTCTTGAGACTGTTATGGTTTGTGACTTGGTCTTTACAATTAGAAGTTCAGATCTAGTCGTTCTTCTTTGATATGATATCACCGTGTATTTTGGAGCATAATTATTGGGATGGCAAATTATAAAATTAGCATTCAATATCTGTACTTATAATATTGTTCTTAATGTTCTGGCAGAAGAGCATTTTATAGTCCTTTTGGTGTGGGGGGAGATAACTTTCTCTCTAATGTGGATATTATAAAACTTAAATAATAATGTTTCCCTTCATTCCATAGGGCATTAAGAGTCCAATTCATTATGTACTGT